CGCCGCCGGGGCCCGAGGATCCCGGCGCTCCCGGGGGGCGGCCGCCTCCGGCCGTCGCTGTCTCCGCAGCGACGTGGAAGAAAAGGGTCTCCGGCCCCGTCAGTTCCAGACCCTTGGGGAGATGCCGTTTCTTTTCCGATTTCTGCGTCCCCGCCCACCGCCCGCTAAATCGGACGAACACCCGGCTGCACCGCAATCCCCGAGTGCGGGATAGGGCCGCGGAGCTGGCAAAGCCGCGGGGCCCAAGGCGCAGAGCCCGCCCCTTCGCCCAGCCCCACCGGCGGGGCTCGTCCCAGAGGGCGGGAGCAGGGAGGGGAGATGGGGTCCTCACCCCCAGTCCCTCCCCTTTCTCCGCCCGGCACTAACCAGGAGCCCAGGAGCAGTCCCTGCCCTAGCGCCCTCTTCCCCGCCCAGGCAGACGCGACCCGCCGAGGCAAAGCCATTGGAAAAAGCCCCGCCCTCCGTAGGCTACCTCCAGACCCCTAGCCCGCGCGCTGCCGCCAACGGCCGCCTGCTGCTACGCATGCGTGACGGCGAGCAAGGCGCATGCGCCTTAGGAGACGCTTAATCCGCCGCGGGTGTGTTTTCCGTACCTCGACTTTCGGAATCTGTGGACTGGGGAAGGAGGAAGAAAAGTAAGGAGAAGTTGAAGTACTGGCACTCTCACAGACAAGGCAGGCACAGCAAAGAGGGCCAAGGCGCATTCCTGGGAGAAATTTAATTTAAGATTAGCCTAAAAATAGTGACGATCTCTTTATTACGCCAAACTTCTTATTTAAGCTGGCAGGGCGTCGTCACACTGGCTTCTGGGAAATGTAGTTTTGATGCTGCTGGCGCGTTCGGTTTGCGACGGAAACTACTGCCCCCAGTAGGCGCTACGGTTTTTTTTGAGTTGGTCTGCGAGTCAACGGTTAGCGCGCTGAGCGCCTGGGCTCGGTGAGAGAACTGCAGGCCTGGTTGCCGCTTTCCCCTTCACGGACTTTCCTTCCTCCATTTCCTCTGAGGGTTTGGAGACGAGGCCATCTGGGGCTGGCTGTCCTCTTTAGCCCGGGGACTTTTGCCAGAAAGCTGCGTGAGAAGGACCAGCCCGGGTACCCAGGCCCGAGGGCGCGTGGAGGTGGCGATCCTGAGGGTCGGAGGGAGCGGCGTTAATCCAGGCAAGAGGGATGCTGTGGGAAGAGGTGCTCTGCGCTGCTGCCTCTCTTTTTTGGCGGATTCGTGGGGAGTGGATTAGGGAATACCTGTCCAGTTGCACCTTTGACATTGCATAGAGGTGTTTTGTGCTTTATTTGCTCAATCAAAGGACCTCCCAAGCAGGGCTTTGAAAGCGAGTTGTCAGACCCATGTCGTATGAGACTAAAGGGCATAATTTTTTGGAATGAATTTTTGCAGACTTTAAGTGTACCATGTCAAAAAAGACCCATAAAAATCTTCAAATTTTAGTACAAAGGAGTCAACCATTTGTTTACAAAGTATTGTCTGTTTTTAAGTAATCCCTTTAAACATTTTTTTGATTGACTGATTTGAGAGAGAACGTGGATTCGTTCACTTATTTATGCAGCCATTGGTTGATTCTTGGATTTGCCCTGACCCGGGATCCAACCCACAGGCTTGGCCTATGGGACACGATGCTGTTACAACTGTGCTTCTGGGCTAGGGCTTGAAAGAATTCCTTTTAGGAAAACTTGTGGTGAGATAAGGCATCAATGGAGTGATAACCAAATTAGATTTTAATTCTTCACAGAATAGATTCTTAAATCTGTTGCAGAATAGATGTGTTTCAAAAAATTGAGCCTTTTTGGGTACTGAGTACACAAGAGTGAAAAAGACACAGCCCCTACCTATCTTAGAGAACCAAGTGGTTAAACACACAATTACAGTGCTGAGATATCGCTGGGATGGCTTCGAAGATCACTTCATCCAGTCTTGGAAAGTCAGGGAAGTCCTCATCCCAGGGAAAGAGAGGGCCAGAAGAACAGCATATGGTGAGGCCCAGAAGTGAGAGAGAGGCGGTGTTTTCCGGAAACTGCAGTGAGCCAAACCGTATATATTTTGGAAGGGGTGCCTTTTTGTGTATTGATGTGCTTTGAAGCTGCAAAGAGACAGGTACTATGAATTTTCCAGATAGATGCTGAAAGTGACCTATTCTTGAACAGATTTATAGTTTCAAAGAATTGTTCTAATTTGGAAAGCCTTGCTGTATTCTAATGCTACTGATTAAATGAGAATTTTTTTAAAAATGAGAACTTCTTGTGAGTATGAGTACACAAAACAAGCAAAAAAGGCATTCCTTTCTTGTCTTTTTTTTGGGCTCCTCATTCTTTGTCCAGCCCACAAAGGGTAGGGTAGTTATCTTAAGTCTAAGCACCTTTTTTACTGCATAGTTGAATCTGATCTCATCCACACCCATGCTTTCACCACCACCCATGACCATTTGGTATACAGCTCCATCCAGCTTCACTTTCAGCTTTCATATATCTGCTTGATATTTGTTCTCGGATATCTCAGAAGGGCCACAGATTCAACGTGGCCTACAACCAAATGCATGTGTCTCCTATGAACCTGATTCTTTCTCATTTAAGAACACTACCATCCACTTGTGAAAAGTTGAAACCCAAGCATTCTTCTTGATTTCTTCCTGTCCTTCATACCTCTGTAGCCAAATTATTTCTGTAGTCAAATTATTGCTATGTTCTATCAATCTTGTCTCCCAAATATCCCTCAGATTCATCCTTTCCCTCCATCCACATAAGCTAGGAGAACCTCCACAGTAGAGCTTTACTTACCTCCAATTTTTGTCTTTTCTTAGTTGTTTCTCTTTTTTCATTCCTGACATCTCTTCGTTTTGATGAAAATATTCTTACTTTGAACATATTAAAACATATTGCAGTCTAATCTGTGGTCTTAGAGCCATTCTTTGTAAGCTAACTTTGTGTATATCTGCTCTGGTCCATTATATTACTGATTGACAGTTTAGCTCTCAGGATAATCTTATTTCCAAGTTTTCCTAGGCCCCACATATCATACGGGGTACATTTATCTTGAGCTCAGCAAGAAAGTCTGAACTAGAGATATATATTTGGAAACTACCCGCATATTGGAATATTTTGTTTTATTTTGCTTTTATGCTACCATGTCTAAGTGCTTACTATGTTTTAAGCACTTTGTTAAGTGTTTTGCATATACTCTTATCCTTACATAGCTTTAAAAAAACCAAAAACGTAGATATGATCCAAAGCTTACTCTTAACCACTATTGGCTATGGAGGGGATGCCAGAATAAGAAAAGAGCCAGGGTAGTCTGAAATTAACCAGAGAAGGGAGGAAAATAACCAGGAGATGGGCAACCAAAGGATTTGAAAATTTCAAGAAGGAATGACTAGTCAGTACACAGAATGCTACCAACATGTCTAGAAAGCTCAGGTTTCTAGATGGTTTGACATTAGTAGTCCCTGTTACCGTACAATGTGTGCATTTGGCATATATTCCCATATAAATGTTGAATTGCTATGTTATATTGAGATAACGATTGATTGGAGGTGACCTGTAGGGTAAAACCAGGCTGCTTGCTGAGGATAGGGAAGTCTCTCCTAAAGGGCTGGTGTTTCTTTTGTTAAACCTCTACTAAGAAAAGGTAGGTTGCAGATCAGGAAACTATCACTTGGATAAAGGGATTTAAGTGGGGATGGATAGATACCTTGGATCTCTCTGTGCTTCTCTTTCCTAGGCTTAGTGTTTAAGGAGGGAATATGGTGGGTGGTAAAAAAGTGATCATTAGTTAAAGGTAGATCAGGAGCTAGGATAGAATAGGACCTAAATGCCTCAGGAGAAAATCCTAACTTCAGATTGACTACCTGGTTTCCTTTTGGTGTCTGCGCTTTCTTCTCTTTTCTTATCCTCTAGCAATGGTAAAGTCTTTTTTAAATATAACTTTATCTTTGCTGTAACAAGACATATAATCATAAGGCAAGAGCATTGTAAGAGGAGCAGCACCCTTCTTCCAGTGAGGCCAATGAGGAAGGACAGTGATAATGAGATTTCCAAGGGGAAAGTGAATTTTGAGGGTAAGAAGTTGAAGTACATAATGGATTTAACTCATAAGTTCCGCATGTGGAGATTCTTCCATTGTCAACCTCAAGAGACTCTGTGTTTTAATAATGAAGGCAATGCAGTTTTCCTATCAGAAATTTATCAGTGACCTTTTTTATGGCACTTGCAGGGGAATAGAGGAATGAAAGCCAGATATGTGCGTTCATTTGTTCATTATTTATTGAAAAGCTATTATGGGCAAGTTCTGTGATTGGCAATAAGTATACAGTAGCATACATAAGAAGCTGCTTAAGAACTGCCCTTAAAAAGCATACAATGTCTGTGGATTATAGACCTTTTAAAAACAAACAAACAAACTTGGCTTAACAGTGAGGGCTAGAGATAGGTAGTAGCTAAAGGTCTGTGAGAGAGAATGAGAGAGGGATGTAGAGTCAGCAGGACTGACTATTTGGGAGATAAAAATGAAAATGCCTGGGGTGACTACTTTCCAGATAAAGAGTAACTCCTTCCATTAATCAAACCTGGAACTATACTAGAAAGACCATCTTGGAATGGAAAGATTCTGAGTGCAGGTTTGAATATGTTAATCATCTTGTTTGAGGGACTCATGAGTCTTAAGGTGAACAATACTCAATGCTGCTTCTGAATAGCTTCTATACATGAAAGCTTAGATGTAGCTTAGGTTCGAATAGTGAGAAGACCATGGGTCCTGGAGTGACAGCATCTTGGGTTTGAGTTCCAACTCTATTTTTACTAGCAGTGTGAATTTGACCAGTTCTTTCACCTCACTAATTTTGGATGTGGGAGATGAGATCGTTTTCTTACCTATAAAAGGATAGTACCTACCTTCCCAGGACTAGTGTGAGGATTTAATGAGGTAATGTATATAAAGTTTTAGATTAGCATATGGCATATGTTGGCTCTCAAGAAACAGTATTTTTTAAAATGAGCATGTTTATGTAAAAAATACTATCCTTCAATTTGATTGAAATTAGTGAAATATAAAGTGCTTTATAGTTGAACTGAAAAATGCTATTAGCATTCTCTAATATTTTATAAGATCCTTATATTTCATTTTTCTCAAGTTTGCAACTTAGCTTTAATATGTTTTCATTTTAAGCTTTAGTCGGGGGAAGTTACCATAAAAAAAGATAATTATGATTTTTCTCCTAAAACAGCAACATAAGAGATAGTATTTCTGAGCAAGGACTCTGTGTCCAGCTTTGTTCTAGATATTATTAAAAACACCACATTTCATCAGTAACACATGTGTGTAATTATTACCCTGTTTTTTCCAATGTGGTTATGAATTAATTAACATTGACTAGAAGCTGTAAAGTAGGATGCATTTCTAAGACATTGAAATTACAGAAAGGGAAATAGAATGATTTGGGAAAGTTAGATAAATTGCCTGCTAAATGATTAAAAGGGCTCTCCTACAACCAACCAAATAAGACCAAAAAAAAAAAAAAAAAGGCCCAAAATCTAAAAGGCTGTTTTAGATTCTTCAGATTTGAAACCTTTCTAAACTAGATGATTAGAATGCTAATGCATTAAATGGAGTTGTGTCTTATTTAAGGATTAGATTCAGAAATTGATATATCCAGAATTACTCTTGGAAATCCCTTTGGAAGCCAGTACATCGGAGTTCCACCATTTAATTCAAGAATTAAGTTATATCAGTGGCTTGTTTTAAAAGCTGTGTTGTCTTTTAGAATATATACTTTCTCTTTGAACTCTAGAATCATTCTTTTTATAGAGAGGTACTCATATGATGAGACGTATGGGAACTTATGATCAACTGAGAAACCAAAAAATTTACACCACCCATGTAATGCTCACTCCAGGGCATGTGTTCATTGCAAATCAGGCAGAATTGGCCATACTATTTATACAGTAAATAGTCATTTTTCTTTCTTGTATTGCTGAGCTTATATTATAGTTGAATTTGTGACAATTAAGTTCATGAGGATACAACTCCACAGTATATGATTTTGTATTAATGTTAAAGTTTCATTTGAATATTTGTCTGATGTTTTTGTCATTCAAATAGGAAAGAGTATGCTATACTATCTAACTTCTTTATTCTCTACAGATAATGGATTCTGAATTAATGCATAGTATAGTAGGAAGCTATCTTAAGCCTCCAGAAAGAGTGTTTGTTCCATCATTCACCCAGAATGATGAATTATCTCAGAATCACCACTCTGTGAACTTTGAAGTTACCTCTCCTAAAATGCTTCGTAGTCCAAATAGCCAAGGTAATGTTAATATCAAATCTTACTTAAAATTAGAGGAATGATGCAAAGTATGTTATATAAAACATTTTTATGTAAAAATGAAATAATTCTGTTTTAACTAATCTTAATTAAACTACTAATTTTTATTCTGTTAAAAGTTTCTGTAAACTTAGGCAAGTTATTTAAGTTTTTTTTTTGGCTTCAGCTGCAAGATGACATATATCACAGATTTATTATAAAAGCATCATTAGAAAACAGAAAAATTATTTAAAGAATAAGAGGTCATATTTGGAATCTTTCTAAACTAGATGATTAGAATGCTAGTGAGTTAAGTAGAATTGTGTCTTATTCAAGGATTAAATTCAGAAATAACATATATCCAAAATTTCCTTGAAAATCCGTGAGGAACCAGTACTTTGGAATAACTACAAAATACAAATATTATAACTTTTAAAATATAAATTTAGGAGGATCTTAAAACTGAATTAGAAAAATATTTCTGATTCCAGGCATACCTTGTGCAATTCAAATTACTTTCTTAGATGCTGATTATCACTTTGTTTTTTAATATTCTCTGATAAAGGTTGCTATTAATAAATAGACTAGCCTTATGGAGTAGAACAACTGCAAGAAATAATAATCCAAACCAATAAGCCAGCCACAGTTACCATATAAAAAGCAATAAATATAATTATTTTATTTGTAAAAAACAAATGATAATCTCTAGCAAACATCTTTCTAATTGGATATAAACTATATGAAAGATAGCTTATAATATTTATTTGTATTCCATTCATCTCTAGTTTTATAATTTGAAGTTACAACTCAATAGAAAGAGTAAGATAATATTTGAACATTTTATAACTCTGAACTTACCTGAATCATGAAGATATTAACATAGCAGACCAAAATTTTAGTATTTTATGTGTGCTACATATAATCTTTCAAGCCTGCTATCAGGTAAACCACTAGGTTATAATTTTTTTCCAACGGAAGAAACTGTTCTTCCTTATATGTCCTGATTATTAACACTGTATCTTGGGCAAAGGAATAATAAATGTTTGTGGTTTGATTAAAACTGAACACATCAATAACTGAAAAAAAATAGCCTTAAGTCAAACCTAGAAAACTCACTAAATACAATCATAAATATATTGTTTTTACAAGATATGTTAGAGAAAATGTGTTCCTTTTTAGAATTTTAGTTATTTTCCGTTTTTATGAGAACTATGTATTACTTACACATTTTTCTGGCTCACTAACAAAAATATACCAGTAACTTTTATATGATTGTAAGTGTTCAAAATTTTCATTTATAATATCAAGCAAATTTTCCTTCAACAGCTCTTATTTTAGCCTTAAAAACTCTTCAGGAAAAGATTCATCGTTTAGAGTTAGAGAGAACACAAGCTGAGGATAACCTGAACATTCTGTCCAGAGAAGCAGCACAGTATAAAAAGGCCTTGGAAGATGAAACAAATGAGAGAAATCTGGTACACCAGGAACTGATAAAGCAGAAAAAAGGTGAGAAAATTCAGTAGTTCTCAGAAACAAGGAGTTAGTAAAGTTTACAGTTTGAAAATAATAAGCCCAGTCTAAGCAGATTTACTTAAATATGTTTGTTCTTATATATACATTCAAACCCTGAAGCCTTATTATCAGATATTTTGATATTTTCAGGAAATGGATATCACTTTGAACTTATTTTTATTATGTCTGTTTTATCCCAGTTCATAAAACTTTAGGATTAAAAGAAAAATTAAGTTTTTAGACAAGTTGTGTTTAGAAATTAGAATGTTTTCAGAATTCCAACAAAATCCAGTTTAACCTGTACATAATTAGAATACTTTATAGTTTCAGTTAACACATTTTTAAAATTTAAAACTATAAGGCAACACTAGTAATTAAGCAATATAAAAACAATAAAAATAAATAAATTTTATATAACTTGAGAGGTTAATTAGATGAAATGAACAGGTAGGTGGAAATTCTGTGGAAATTATGAAAAAGACACCTGGAGACAGGTTTTAGAGATTTAGAACATAAATTCTTTATATACTTTTACTTCAAAGCATATGGTTTTCTTTTTGTAACATGACACTCACCCTTAAAAACAAGGTTCAAGTTTGTGTTTCAATTTATAAATAGAATGAAGAAATGGGGAGAAATATTTTTCTGAGGTAATTGGAAAAAGTGGAAGAAAGAGCTTAGGAAAGTAAGAAATTAAAGGATTAAAAAGAGGTTATTGCCCGGCCAGGCGTGGCTCAGCAGTTAAGTGTCGACCTAGGATCCAGGCGATCGGGGTTCGATTTCCGGTCAGGGCACATGCCCAGGTTGCAGGCTCGATCCCCAGTCGGGGGCATGCAGGAGGCAGCTGATCAATGACTCTCTCATCATTGATGTTTCTATCTCTCTTTCTCCCTCTCCTTTCTTCTCTCTGAAATCAAGAAAGATATATTTAAAAAAATAATAAAAAGAGGTTATTTATACCTTATGAATTTAACTGTGCTGTCTGTAGTCAAGAGCAGAGAAAAATGGGAATGGTAGAATGATAGGGAAGAGACTTTGGGTCCTCTGTTTTTCCAGTTAGTGTTATTTCCCAGGAACAGCCAGGATTTTTATCATCCCATAAGTCACTGACATCTTCCCTTTTGAGATGTATGCCCTCTGGGTCTTTAGGGGGAGATAATGTTAAACCAGTTACATATAATTAATGAAATATTCACAAAATGTATGTTGGTAACTCTGAAAGAATCAGTACATAGAACTAAAGAAGCCTTAACTTTTAACCCTTGATTGAATTCATATAATGTATTTCTTATGATAACCAAATCTCTGGTCTATGTGATAATCAACTAATTGACTCATTACTTTTTCATAGATATAAGTATACAATTAAGCTCAGCTCAGTCTCGCTGTACACTCCTAGAGAAGCAACTAGAATATACGAAGAGAATGGTTCTCAATGTAGAGCGAGAGAAGAATATGATCCTAGAACAACAGGTGAACATATTTTCTATAAGAAATATAATTTAATATGGTTTTGAAGAATATTTAATGTCTGTATGGAAACGGATGGTACTAGATTTACTGAGATGATCATTTCACAATGTATACAAAGGTTGAATGACTATGTTGTACACCTGAAACTAATATAACATTGTATGTTAATTATACCTTAGTAAAAAAGTAAGATGTAAACTAGATGACACAAATTCAATACACGATAAAAGCTGGCAAATTTGCCCTCAGGAAAAAAGAGAATATTTAATGTTGTGGAAAAATTGTTATAGTATAATCATAAGTAAAATAGGATATAAAGCTGTATATAGATTTCCACTTATAGTGGTGCAGACTAGGTCATTTGGACCAAACTTTCTATAGAGAAGAACAAGAAAAACTGTACAGAATATTAAAAGGAAAGACAGAATAGAAAGAGGAGAAAGAAAAAATACACAAAGGCATTGGAGAATTAAAAAGTTGATGAAAAATCACCATTTCAAAATCTTTGTGAAAACTTAAATCCAGAGAGGTAGGCCTGATATATCAGGTCCCTTCTAAGGGCATTTCTGATTCTAGAACAGTCCATTCAGAGGCTAAATAATGCTTTTGACAGCCATCCTTTTGGGGTTAAGGAAATTAAAGTTAGAATTCGGGCCTATCAACAATAGGAACCCTAGTATATCCTCTGGGCTCAATGCTTTATAAGGGTAAACAGTAGGAAAAAAACCCAGATTTCAACTCTGCTCTAGGTTATCAAAATAACTCAGAAAAATCTTAGTCCTTGAAATTGGATTAAAGCGATCCTGGATTGCTAATATTCTCAGGTACCTCAAATTATTTCTACAAACGTTTCTTTGACACAGTGAGAAACTTTTAGAGATAACCAGGCAGAAGAAAGGACACTAAGAAGAAAGATATATCATACTTAATAGACTGTGTATAAACACTTTCACAAGGTAGCTCCAACTAGGCACTGTCTCTAACAGACACAGTCTTTAAAATAATTATGCTTGTGCCCTGGCCAGTGTGGCTCAGTTGGTTGGAACATTGTCCCGTGCACTGAAGGGTCGTGGGTTCGATTCCCAGTCAAGACACATACCCAGGTTGTGGGCTCGATCCCTGGTCAGGGAGCATACGGGAGGCAATGAATCGATGTTACTCTTTCACATGGATGTTTCCCTCATGCTCTCTCCGTCTCCTTCCTTCTTTCTCTAAAATCAGTAAAAACATATCCTTGGGCCCAGCCAGGCGTGGCTCAGCGGCTGAGCACCGACCTAGGATCCAGGAGATCGCGGTTTGATTCCTGGTCGGGGCACATGCCTGGGTTGCGGGCTCAATCCTCAGTCGGGGGTGTGCCAATCAGTGACAACTCTCTCATCATTGATGTTTCTATCTTTCTCTCTCCTCTCCCTTCCTCTCTCTGAAACCAATAAATATTTAAATATATATATATATATATATAATTTTCATTCTTGGGTGAGGATTAAAAAAATAATTATGCTAGCTATAATCAAGGAGGTAAAACAGAGGATTGAAATTTTCAGCAGAGCATTGGAAACCATAAAATGGCTGAACAGATTTGAGAAAAAATAAATAAAAATTATAGAACTGAAAAATATAATAACTGAAATTTAGAACTCAATGGATGGGTCTAACAGTGGATAAGAAGAGATAATTAGTGAACTGGAAAATGAAACCATCCAGATCAGTGAAGAAACAAAATGATAGTAGTTTCAAAAAAGAGACTGAGAGGCATAAGTTAGAGTGAAAAGGTCAAACTTATGTATAATTGGAAGTCCAAAAGGAAAGGTGAGAGAGAATGGGATAGAAGTGATATTTGAAGAAATAATGGCATAGAATTTTCCAAAACTGATTTTTAAAAGGATTATACCATAGATTCACAAAGCCCTATCAAACTAAAGCAGGATACATAAAAAGAAACTATGCCTAGACACCTCAGAAGAAGATAAATAATGAGGCAAGAAAAAAACGTAAAAGCTTCCTGGGGGGGGGGGGGGGGGATTACAT